GTGATAGAAATATGGGCACGAGGTGCCGTGGAAAATATGAAAGTGGGCTGAGACCCATAATTTTTATGATTGTGAAATGAGGTGTCACATGGTTAATTTTACTTGAAAATATATTTATTTGAAAGAAATATATATTCGAAAGATATTTATTCAAAAGAAGTATATTCGAAAGACATTTATCTTAAGGAATAATATGTGGAGGATTTATATTTGAAGAACTTGACTTATTGATTGTACTTGTGTTCCTTATTCGCCTAAGCAATAATTATGATGTTCTTGTTGCCTTGTTGTTATATCATTGGTTGAGTTTGTTGTTATCATTGCTAGTTGTTTTCCAGTACTATTGTATACTGCTATATTGCACATGTTATTTGACTAGTGGGTGTCTTGACTGTACCCCATCTCTACTCCACTGAGGTTAGTCTTGATACTTACTAGGTACCGACCGTGGTGTACTCATACTACACTTCTGTATATTTTTGTGCAGAGCCAGGTATTGGAGGTATCGGACCCGGACAGAGTTAGAGTGTGATCGCAAGGATTCAAGGTAGAGTTGCTTGGTCGTCGCAGTCCCTTGGAGTCTGTTTATTTCATTGTACTGTTAATTTTTTATCAAATAGTATTATATATTTGGTCTTCGTGATCATTCTATGTATTCAGTTAGAGTTCGTGACTCAGTATTACTAGTCTTGGGAATGTGTTATAATTATTTATGCTGTTGGTTTCGTTTATTAAAAAAATAACGGCTTGAATTATAATTAAAATCGTCTTATTTAGCCTTAGAGATTAAGTGCCATCACGACGCCTGTGGTGAGATTTTGGGTCGTGACAATTTTAGACCCGATAAGTTTGAAGTTGATCGTAAAGTGAATAGGCTTACAAATATTTTTGCAAAATAAATATAAGTTGAATTGTGACCCCAAAACCGAGTATACGTACAAAAAGCCCCCAAGTGAAACAAATTAGCTAGCCCAAGCTCAAAACCAGACCGAGACCGAACCAAGTTTGTTCATGCCCACCTTAATCTGGTTTGCATGATTGTCAATTTAATTGTAGTTGGGGGAGCTTGTACTTAACCTTTGACGAGGAAAGCGAAATAAATATTTATAACTTTGGCCAAACTTCTAAAATCGGCTTATTTTGATAAACGTTTTTTTCAAAAGTACTTTTTAAAAAATTGCTTTTGGTGAGAAGCAGTTTGTGTTTGGCTAATTAATTTGAAAAGCACTTTAGTGTTTGGCCAGACTTTTGAAAACTGCTTTTAAGTGTATTTTTCTCAAAAGTGCTTTCGGAGAGAATTTACTTTTTTCTGCTTCTCAAAACTGCTTCCGCTTCTCCTCAAAAGTATTTTTTCCCATCTAAAAGCTTAGTCAAACACCTCAATTTTTGTCAAAAGTACTTTTGGCCAAAAAAAACTTGGCCAAACAAGCTATTAAATTGAACACATTTTTAAGCCTGAAATATACTTCCTCCGTTTCAATTTATGTGAGCTTATTTCCTTTTTAGTCTGTGCCAAAAAGAATGACTCATTTCCTTATTTGGAAACAATTTATCTTTATGCAATGATTTATAGTCACACAAAATATATTTGACTCATTTTACACCACAAGTTCAAAAGTCTTATCTCTTTTTTTAAATTCCGTGTCCAGTCAAATGAGTTCACAAAAATTGAAACAGAGAGTACGTAACTTAGCCTAGATTAGGAGTAGGACTCAACTTAATACTAGATAATTCTCCTATATAAGCAGCACGGTAGGAGCAAGTGAAGCGGGGAGGTCTTCGTTGACATCCCAGCTTGCACAAGGGAAATTTTGGTCATTTCAATGGTTGGATGAAGGATTACTTGGTAATTTCGTAGCTATTCTCCTGGGCGGTCGCTGCTTTTACTTTTGCTTTATCCGTTAGCTGCTGCTCTCTGTTTTCGTTTGGATTGCTTTAGCTTTTTGTCTGCGAATTTCGGACTTTGGTTGCGGTGTCCACTGGTTTGAAAGATCTTCTTTTGATATTTTGCTTGGTTTTGCTATCGGGTTTCTCTGAAGAACACAACGTCTGCTAATCAGGGGTTATAGTGACTGCTGCTCCGATAATTTCAAGGCAATATTTCTAATTTATGTGAATGACGGAATACTTCATCATTTCTTTCAACTCCTCTAAAGTGCAGTAAGAATCGATTTCAATCTATTATTTAAATACCACATCCGGACATGCATTAGAGGTATTTGATAAATTGTCCGAAAGAAACTACGGATGTTTGTGGACTGTCTTAATTTGATTTTGACTCAGTAAATTAAGCTTCAAATATGATGTTTATTTCACTGACCTTCTTTGTTTTTTCTTTTCCTTCATGGGTTACAAAAAGCATGAATTTGTATAAAAAATTCATGTCTAATTTCCTATTTCTCGCGATAGCTCTGCTCTTTTGCGGTTTATGATAGTTTAACTTGGTATGTCAATCACTGATTAATTATGTCAATCACTGATTAATATGAATTTTCAGTTCCTCCCGCATTAATTTTTATTGGTAGTCTCTGTGGATATTTTTTTGTTTATTTAATATCACTTTGTTTTGCTTCCTTCCTTACGCCATTTCTAGGAATTTTGCTTCAATAAGGAAAAACTGTCGGAATTAACTTTTTTTATTTGACTTTCTTCAAATGCTTAATTGATTTATTTGTCCAAAGTAGGATTGTCATTCTATTCATTTTGTTCTTCCAAATACTTAGATTGATTCCTATTCTTCTACTCTCTTTTCATTCGAGGGTAGCGGAGGAATTCATTGTTGTTTTGAAATTATGGAGCTACGTCTCAACTCCTGTTATAATTCATTTTGTGATTCTTCTATACTCAGTCAAATGAATAATCGCCAAGGTGGTCTGTTCTGTGTAGATCAAAATGATATACGAAAAGTACCTATAATATTCATTCATGATTCATGGTGCTAATTCATGAAGCTGATGCTTCCCATGAAATTTGCAATGGAAGACATAGACTAACAAAATTTTTGGCTATTTTTTGCTTAAGTTGTTGGGTAAGCTGCTATATAGGTTGATTCTTCCTTTAAATATTAGAATAATAATATAACCTTTTTGTTATAAAAGAAATTTTGTGTTAGAGTCCATCTTCAAAAAAATCCCAAACGAAATAAATATCATATTTAAAGGGGCGGAATTTCAGAATGACTACATATGGAGCGCGTGAAGTGTAGATATATAATGTTATAGATGGGCCCCGATAATGACAGAGATATAGTTGGCAACTCTTGCGTTTTTGAAGTTGGTGAGTCTACAACTATGATGTTCAAGTTTGTAGATTTTCCAGACAACTGACTTATACGATAATTCCTTATATGTTAGGGTCAACATCAGGAACGTGCAACGAACAATATAACATTACGTCGCGTACTGCGACAAAGAAAGGTTTGTTTTCATCTACTGTTCGAACCATTTCACTCTTTTGTTTTCCTCAGCTGACATATTTTCCTTTGCTAAAATCTGAGATACACAGGTCGTAAATCTAGAAAATTTGGTTGCTGGAACATTAATGAATTTCCTAATAGTTCTTTTACACTCAAACATGTATCAAACTGTCAATTTTGTAGAGCCAAAAGATTTGAATATGAACTACCAAGATTTTGTTGTGACAATGGTTCAGTGAAACTGATTCACTATGGACTGCCTACTGAATTGCTAAATCTTTATTTAAGAAACTCTGAGGAATCTGAACATTTTCGCACTTATGTTAGAATGTATAACAATATGTTCGCATTTACTTCTCTTCGAGTGAAATATGACAGAGATTTAGCGAAAAGAAATCGTGGTATTTATACATTTAGAGTTCAGAAAAAAATGTATCATTTTATAGATGACTTGTGCCATCGAGTCAACCGGCTAAAAATCTACAGCTGTATTTCTACAATACAAATAATGAGGTAGCAAATCGGATGGCATTCTCTGACAAGCTTAATGAATCGGTTATCAGAACTTTGATGGACACATTAAAAATAAACCCATATTGTATCTTTTTGAAATTGTTAACAGATATCCCAGAATTATCCAACTTCTACATTGCGCTTCTACATTGCGCTTAAGTCTGACTCTGATTTAGATCAAAGAATATACAACTTACCAGCATCGTCAGAAGTAGCAGCAATATAGATAGAAGATGAGATTAGTTCCCGTATTTCTTTACCACACATTCGAATTTATAGACGTAATTATAAGAGCCAATTGGTAAATTATTACTACGATTGTTATGATCCGTTGCATTATCAATTACTATTTCCTTATGGACAGAATGGATGGCATTGTCGTATTAAAAAGATTATTCGAACAAACAATACTGGTAGTACTAGAATTTACTATGGACATGAACAACTTCCAAGTGTAGAAAATATGTGCTCAATTGACATGCTTCTTGACATGGAAGCAGAACTGCTGCCAAAAAAAAAAACGAAAAAGAAATACTGTATCTTGCCGTGAGTATTACTGTTATAAGCTCCAAATGAGGGATGACGAAGAAAACAGAGTTTTACATGCTGGGAGAGTGTTTCAACAGTTCTCGGTTGATCAATTCATCAAGCTTGAGACTCAAAGGTTAGATTTTTATTCACTTAACCAAGACTTATTTCGAGTTGATGCGTTAGCGGGGCTTCTTGGTGTTCTAAGACATAGAGAGAGAGATGCATCAAATATCGGTAAACAAAGTTTTCTTCCTGCGAGTTTTGTAGGAGGTCCTAGAGATATGCGCCGAAGATATATGGACGCTATTGCATTAGTGTAACATTTTGGAAAACCTGATATATTTTTGACAATGACATGTAATCCATCTTGGCCTGAAATAGGAGAACATTTATTAGTAACATATGAGGTACAAAATAGGCCTGATTTAGTAGGGGTGGGCGTCGGTCGGTTATTATGAAAGTACGGTTCGGTTTATCGGTTTTCGGTTTTGTAATATTAATAACCAAATTAAACCAAAGTATTTACGGTTCGGTGCGGCTTTTTCAAGGTTCGATTCGGTTATTTCCGGTTTAGTTTTTTGATTATTAACGGTTCAAGATTTTGATTAATATAGCAAGTTGCTGAAACATGTTGGTTGCTTTTCTGATGGAGTTTTCAGTACAAACTTTATGAAAATGTACTATCATGATAATGATAGCACATACGATATACGAGGAAGTATGATATATAAGAAAATATCTGAATAGCAGCAAATTATAGTGCATTTACACAGAGCAGAACTATATATGCCCAATTGACTTATATTATATTACAAAGTACAAAATACCCGTGCAAACCGAGATCCTTTTGATCGTCCAAGTAAATTGTCACCAGTAAAAATGCTAAATTCATAATTATAATACAAAAATTTAAAAATGGTTGCTATATTAAATTATGTTAATTGTAGTTTCTCACAAGAGTTGTTACCTCACATCAATCCTTGAGGTATGAGGTTCGAACTTCACTAGCCTGTTTGGGTATGAGTCAAAAATTTCGGTTTTTCGGTTTAACCGAACCGAAACACCAAAACCGTAAACCGTATCGAAAAATCGAAATTTAATAATTTAAAAAATCTCACTCCGACCGAATAACCGTTTAAACCGAAACCGAAAAATTAAAATTCACGGTTCGGTCGGTTTTTTCGGTTCGACCGGTATTATGCCCACCCCTATGATTTAGTTAGTCGAGTGTTTAGAGCAAAGGTAGAAGAGATGAAAACAGATATACTAAAGAGAAATATATTTGGTAGAGTTGCTGCTTTTATGTACACTATTGAATTTCAGAAGCGCGGTCTTCCACATGCTCATTTTCTTATCATACTCAACAACGAATATAAATTGTTAACTGCAGAAGCTTATGATAAAATTGTTTGTGCTGAATTGCCTCATCCTGGTATGAATGATTACTTGTATACACTTGTTACTAAACATATGATGCATGGACCTTGTGGTAGCTTAAATCCTAAATGTCCTTGTACAGAAAAAAGGAATATTGTAAGTTTGAATATCCGAAAGAATTTGCTGACCACACATCAAAGGGAAAATATGGGTATCCAATATATCAAAGACGAAATACCGGCAAAGTTGTACATATTAGAGGACAACTTCTTGATGACTCTTAGGTAGTTCCTTACAATACATATCTACTGAGCAAATTTAATTGTCATATTAATGTTGAAGTTTGTTGTGATATTAAAGTTGTCAAATATATTTATAAATATATTTGCAAGGGACATGATAAAATTGCCTTTTTCGTACATGCTGATGATCCGAATATTGAAATAGATGAGATCAAACAATATCAATCCGCTAGATGGGTTTCACCGCCGGAGGCAACTTGGCGTTTATTTGGTTTTTCCATTAGTGAAATGAGCCCAGCTATTTACCATCTTCAACTTCATCTTGAAGGACAACAATTTGTCTCTTTTAAAACCACATAGACCATAAATGCAATTGTAAGAAATCCCATGATTAGAAAAACAATGTTGACAGATTATTTTTTGATGAATAGAGAAAACAAAGATGCTAAGAATCTAAAATTACTTTACAAGGAATTTCCTGAATATTTTGTATGGTCCAGACAATATAGAATGTGGACACATCGGCAACGGGGTACTGTTATTGGACGTATTGTGACATGTCATCCTACAGAGGGAGAAAGATAATATCTTAGATTGTTATTAATGAATATTAGAGGACCAAAATCATATCAATATTTGCGAGCTGTAAATGGAATATGTTGCAGTACATTCAGATAAGCAGCAGAGAAAAGAGGATTGTTAGAATGTGACAATAACTTGGTTGACTGTATGTCAGAAGCTGTAAGATATCAAATGCCTTATAGTTTAAGACGTTTATTTGCTACGCTATTGGTATTGTAATCCTGTTAACCCGAAAGAACTTTGGGACCAATTTGAAGACTCTATGTCTGAGGACTTTAAGATTCCAAATTCGTCAGATGACTTTAAATCATATTAATGATATTTTATATTCAATGGGTCATGACATAAATGAATATACACTTGTGCTAGAAAGAATTTTAGCTTCATCTGCTGCTAGGGAGGCTCAAGATTCTCATTTTGAAAGAAATATAACTGTTAGAAAAAAGGATTTATCATTGGAAGCAAAATTGAACAATGAGCAACTGGAAGCATATAATGTAATTCTTGATAGAATATAGACTTTTTTATAGATGGTCCTGGAGGAACAGGGAAAACTTTTTTGTATTGTGCATTACTTGCTGCTATACGATCAAAAGGATTTGTAGCTTTATCAACAACAATCTCTGGTGTTGCAGCTTCAATTCTTCCTGGAGGACGAACCGCCCACTCCCGTTTTAAAATCCCTATTGACAATGACAGACAATTCTCATGTAATGTTAGTAAGCAAAGTTCACTTGCATCATTGATACGAGATGCCAAATTAATCGTGTGGGATGAAGTATCAATGGCCAAAAGACAATTGTTAGAGGCTTTCGATTTACTATTGAAAGATCTATATGGATACAAAGATATTGTTTGGTGGAAAAGTTGTCATCTTTGGTGGTGATTTCAGACAAACTCTTCCAGTTGTTCGCAACGGAAAAAAAGAGGATTTTATTCACGAAAGTTTGCTATGTTCTGACATCTGGAATCAACTTGAAAAATTACGATTATCAGTAAATATGCGAGCGTGAACAGATCCTACTTTTTGTGAATATTTGATGAAGATAGGGAGCGAAAAAGAAAACTTAAATTGCCAAGGTAAGAATGAAATTCCTGAATGTTTTGCTGTTCCTTTTATTAGTGAAAAAGAATCATTAAATCTTTTATTTAGAGTAACTTATCCAAAATTGTATACATCTTCTTGTGATATGTCTTCTATGACTTCTCGTGTTATTCTGACAACAAAAAATGATTTCGTTGATGAAATAAATGATATGCTCATAACTCAATTTTTAGGTGATTCTAGAACATATGTTGCATTTGACGAAACTACTAAAACGAATGATCAAAGTCAATATGAAGATTTCTTGCATAGCTTACACCCTCCTGGTTTACTTCCGTATAAATTAACTTTGAAAAAAATTTATCCTGTTATGTTATTGCGGAATTTAAATCCATGCGGAGGTTTATATAATGGTACACGACTTATATGTTGTAATTTCGAATTTTTTTTTATAAGTGCTAAAATTGCAAGCGGTGATTTAAAGGATGCACATGTATTTATTCCGAGAATACCGTTGTTATCGTCACAAGAGGAAAAACTACCTATTCCTTTTAAAAGAACACAATTTCCTATTAGATTATGTTTTGCTATGACTATAAATAAAGCTCAAGGTCAAACATTAGATTTTGTTGGAATTTATTTACGGGAGCCTGTTTTTTCACATGGTCAGCTTTATGTTGCTTTATCACGAGCAAAAAACTCAAATTCTATAAAAATCTTAATCCGACCACCAACAATTGATAGCAACGATGATCATACAACACACAATATAGTATATGAAGAAATCATTCAGGCAACTATCTTATAAATTGACAGTTATACTATGAGCAACTAAGCTATGATACTACTTGGACGCAGCAGTGGTTATTAGGTAAGTAAATTTCTTCTTGAATGGATGGATGACCTGTTAAACATTCTAATCAATAGAAATTTGAATGGCTTCCCATATTATATATGAAATGAGCTACATTAATTGTATCAAATATGAAATAACTATTAACTTCACAGTACTGCAGCTTTGGAAAATATGAATAGGTAAAATTAGGTACCTGTTGTTTAATTCTTTTAAGCAGAGTATTCGTCGTCGTCGTAACAGAAAATTGGGCGTTTTGCAGTTCAGTAGTTGCTCTATTGACATAATCATATGGTTGAAATGTTAGTTTACTGTTCTATCTTTTTTTCGTTATATGTGACTGATTGTTTTGTTTCTGGGTTCTTGCTGATTTGTTGTTCGAAATCATATTGTAGTTTTATGTTGATTTTGCGAAATTCAAAAACACCGTGAAAAGAAATCGGGGTTTATGCGGACTATCTGACCATTTTTCATCTTTTTTTGTATCATTTTGACCAAGAGTTATAAATTGAGGAATTTTAGAATGTATGAGCTTGTGACTGAGTTTAGCCACTGTTTTAATCTTCTTTCCATTTATTTCATTTTGGTTTCCTGAGTTTACATGCAAAAGATATTTTGTTCATTATTTGGATCTTTTTCTGTTATCAATTCTTTGCCGTAATTTTAGCTTCATAAAATTTAATTAATAATCTGATTGATGTTGAAAAGTAGGCCATAGATGTGATGTTCTATAATTAACGATACAATCTTTCTTTTATGAAAAACAAAAAGGAAGAAAAAACGTTGTACCCTTCTTCCTCTTCCCTGTTTAAACCTGCATTTCGGACTGAATTAAGATAATGAAATGAAGCGATACAACAGACAACGTATGAAGCTAGATATACAATCTTGCGTTAGCCATATGATTCTTTTACAGATATGTTACAAATTGTAGTAATCAGTGTATTTACGCATAGTTCTTTGTGTCAACCTATCAGACCTCAAAAATTAGCATCAGTATCCAAAAAATGTGACCCTTTCATGACTTTGCAACCTATGTAAAATGAGGGTTACCACTCAAATATAGTACCATTCTAAAAACACCCGTTCTAAGAACTTCAATGCTGTCTTGACTCGCAAAAAAATGATTGATTACGAGATGTGCTAAATAATTGAATTCTTTTTGAGACTTGATGGAACGGGGAACAACGATTACCTTAAGGCAAATGTTAATTTAACCATTTTCTCCAGTGATATATGTGCTAAGGTGAAAAAAGATAACTTATTTAGTTAAATATCCACCTTTATTTCTATGCTGGTCATAAATGCATGACTCTTAGACTATACTTATATATCTTTGTATATGATAACTTGGAAAGTGAAAAAAAAGGAGAGAGATAAACAGGACTAATTTTTTAAATGATTAAAAGTCGAATAGCTGGAATGTAATTCCCTGCTCCTATCGTAATGTTGTGTTAGGGAATTAATGGATGTATGTTCTGAGGTGAAATTATGTATGGCATTATACTTATATATCATTTTTCTTCATATGCTCTTGATAAATGCCTAGCTCTTTATAAGTGATTGTGTATCTTTGTGTCCGATTATGCATGTACTTGGATAGTGATTGCAAAGCAATTGCAAGCACAAGTTGCAAAGTAGGAGCAACTGATTGGGCAACTGGAGAATCAAATTCTCATGTGCCTATAGTGGTACGATGTCCATGATAGATGAATGTGTTTATCATATATTCAGTGAGAGTTTCATTAGAATACTTACATGTAGCTTAGGCTGTTATAAGTATTTTAGTTTGTACACAAAGTAGAATTTACTTAACTTCGACATTCCATTACCAATCTGATATATTGTTTGGTGTCTCACGATTCAGCCTGTAGGAAAAGAATTTCCCCCCCCCGTAGAGGTAACTACTGCCCATGCTTCTTTCACTAACATAAATTCTAGAAAATTTCTTGGATAATACCTCTTCTTCAGCAAGTTTCTTCATAGAGAACTCATGAACTTTCTAGGTTATCATATTGCACCTAGCCATTGATATTGAGGACTTAATGTAACTACATCTTAGGTTTTGTTTATTAATACCGGAGAAGCTAAATTAGAACCAACAACTCCTTTAAAAAGAAGACAAATGATATCTTACCGCTGAAGACTGTTAGTACTTATTTCCTGTGAGCTATAGCCGTAGCTCTCTCTCTGTTTGCTGTCATCTTTCACTGTTGTTGTTAAATGGTTGGCATGTATATGTTTTTGGTTGTTCTCCTCAGCTATGGTTGTTTTTTGCCATTTTTTATCATTCAATTACTATGTCACTGTTTCTCTTTTCGTCGTCCATTTATAGGTGAATTTCTTTCTGCATGCACAAAATCAAATACTACTTTTTTTGCAAATTTAATTTTGTTACTATAACTTTGTTACTTTTGTGATACTATTTCAATTGACAACATCTACTCTTTCTTTTTGTTAACTCTTTGTTTTCACTACTATATCGTGAGCAGGAGTTCTTATACTCACAGTAATGTTAGTCTGATAGAAATGTCAAATGTAATGTTGTTTGATGTGGGCAAACACAGCTAAAGTTCTTGACAACTCTAATTTCCCAAAAATAATACCTTTTCACTATTTTGTTGTGACAAGATGTGATCCTCCAACTAATATATTTAGTTGCAAAACCATTCTATAAGCTTCCGTTGCTATTGAAACTTAAGTTATAGATGAGTTTACGACAATTAACACAAGTTAGTTGCATTGTTTTTTGCTGCTATAATTCCAAAAGATGTCAAATTTTATTAAATTCCAATCTATCTTACCTTTTTTGGAACTGGCAGTAACATTATCTATGACTAAATGCACTATCTTAGTTGCTTGCCCATTTTCAGTTTTGATGATCTGGTTACTGCTATTTACTAGAGTGGACTTCCATTGAACATTATGTTCTTATGTGTGTATCCTTACTTGCAATTTTGATATTTATAGATTACTAAAGCTTAATCTTTCACCAGAAATTAAATACTTAAAAGTATTATTGCCTCGTTTGACGATGAGGGGTTGCAGGAATTTACAACTAAAAAGAAGTCTAGGTGGCCAGTTGCAACTTTAGAGATAGAAATCTCAAGTCTTGTTCCCAGTTGTGGAATCTCCACAGGTACACGAGAAACAACGATAAATTATGCATCTCGAATAGTAATTTCATGGGAGTAGTTTCAGTTGTCGGTTAATCAAATGCTACTTTTCTAGGCCTTGCTGCGACTCTGTATGTGGCTAAACCAACAAAAGGATCAAGTGTGGCCATATTTGGACGGGGGGTTGTAGATCTTCCTGTGAGTACTCTGTCTATATTGCAAATAATTTTCATTGATCTATCTTTTTCTGTCTTTGTTCTTTCCCATATGTTACTTTAATGAATCTTATTTATAATCTGATCCCATTTGGTCAGGCTGCAGAAGGAGCACGAATCTAAATTCCCCATGTACATCAGATTAAGGTAGCATAGGAATCTAAATATTGACATCTGTATTTATTCTAAATTCTGTGTGATACAGTTCAAGGAAGAATGTAACGTGGTTAATCATTTTTACTTTACAATATCCATTGATATGCTTAATGAGAGAGAACTAAAATTGTGACAATAGAATAGTTAGTCATCAACTTGCGGCTGAGAAAGTTTGAACACCGTTCAGGAGTATGTAAGATGAATACTGTATTGACTATTCAAGTTATTAGTGAACTTTTTAGGGACAAATTGACATGCATGATTTTTTACTTGCCACGTAAGAACATGTAAGATCATAGAGCTTCTTCTGGTTTTGATTCTGATAATTTCAGTCTAAACATATATCTGCTCTACAATTCAAATTTCAATTTGAATTTATGTGTTATTTTTTAGCTAACATGTGACGACAAAATTATTTATCTTTCAATAGTTGATGGTACTGCTCCTCTTCCTCAGACTCTCAAGCTACTCAAGATCTTACTTGATAAGAGGCAAGTCATATATGTCTGGCCTTATGTTTCAATAACTTTATATTTTGAACTGAATCTGTACAGATTTAACACTAGGAATTCTTCGGCGTTCTTGCTCTGTTGCTGAAATTCTTTTATGTTTTCAGTTACAACACTTGGTTCTTGATAAGAAAAAATCTGCAGCTTATTCAGAGAGTCCAGGAAAAGGTTGTAAAGGAGACCAGAAAAAATGTCATACTGCTCACTGACGACTCATGTCTTAAAGATATGTCATACATCAACTTTTGGTTCTTTATTTCTCACTGAACCAGAAGAGAAGTTCCCAAATTGGCGTGCTCATATTTTAAAAATAACAGCGAGGCGGTAACCAATGTCGGAAATTGGAATTGAATTGTACGCTAACCTCACTCCTCAGAACTCTTGTACCAACTTCATAAATATAAACACAAGAAGAGATAAATCTTCATTTAGACACGCTGTAAACTCTTGATCAATGTTCATTTTTGTTAACTACAAAACTTTTGGGTGATTGCGTTTGTACATGAATTGATTATATGAGTTCTGTTCCCATCCTGTGACAGCTGATGCTTTCTTGGATATAGTTGATGTGCCCGGGCTAATCGTAACTAGTAGAATAGGCACTGCTAAGCTATTACAATTTGATTATTCAGGATAACGACTAGTCAAAGTAGGTGCTCCAACTTTTACTTGCATCAACACACACCACAAGCGCCCACAGCCAACAAATTACTAATTGAGTGGAACTTACTATTTAGGTCACCATTTTAGTCCTTATCTTTTGCAGCCTTTTATGTTTTTACTTTCAACCTGATATTCATTTTCCACCTTAAATGTGTTTGGAAGTGCTTCATTCTAAAAAAGTTTGCAAAATTTTTGGAAACGTGCACAATGTGTGTTTAAGAAAGTCTTGAAACAACTTTCCTATAAACTTTACGAAATTCGATTTGAGATCTATTGCATATTTTAGTTATATGATTTTTTTTAATAAAAAGATATTTTCTTTGGTTCACTTTAATTGATTTTCTTGTTTTTCTTGTGGTCCACCCTATTTGATTTTTTTAGATATAAAAAAGGAATTAGCTTCTTTTTTTAAAGTTATCTTTAGAGTAAAGAGCGTATAAATATTTGTTATATTTTAAAAAAATCAACTAAATTAGAAGGGAGGGAGCATAAATTAGTCTTCCTTTTCACGTTATTAAAGATAGGAAAGGAATTAAAGAAAGTAGTTCAAATTAGATTGGAGCAGAGAAAGTCCGATTGGGTAAATGGACGAGTATAAAATGAAGGCACACAAAGCGAAAAGGCAAGTCAAAATCCAAAGAAGAGAGAAAGACACAGAAGACCAATTGGGAACTGGTCAGGCAGCTCTCAAATGCTAGTAACATAAAGGGCCAGCCATCTATCCATATACATAAAAAAACCCACAGAAATTCCTCTCCTTTTATCACCATTATATCTCTTCTCTTCTTATTTGACAGAAACTGAGCAATCAAGTTTCTGTTTTGCGGTCATAGTCTCAAAATTACATGGCGAAAACCTCAAAAGCATATCAGAAAAACACTTCTTATACTAATAGCAGTGAGAAGAATAACAGCAATAGCGGCAGTAGCAGTGATCATGCCATTTCCAAAGGGAAGAGGAAGCGAAAAGCTGTCGTCTCCAGAGACTCCCCTCCACAACGTAGCTCCATTTACAGAGGTGTCACAAGGTATATTTTCATTTGCATCAGTTGACCTTCTCATCTAAAAAGCTAAAGTTATTAAGTGATTACACTCTTATTTACTTAATTATTTTTTCAAGATGTTCCCTCGAATGCATGTAGAATTTTTTTTTGATTATATTAAGGGACGAGTTCATTTTTTTTCACTGAATACGTACGATTATTAGGCACAGGTGGACGGGTCGATATGAAGCTCATTTATGGGATAAGAACTGTTGGAATGAGACACAGAGCAAAAAAGGAAGACAAGGTTCACCATTATTTGTCCTTTAATTAATATTTTTTTTCTTTTTCCTTAATTAGTTTCCTATTTAGTGATCATGACTATTTAGCTTTGATGTTGTTCAACTACATTATTGATGGGATCTTTTTTTGTTTTCTTTGGTTGCTCTTGCATGAATGGTGGGTGTGACAAAATCCAATAAAAATGCAGTATATCTGGGTAAGTTATCTATCATTATCATTCAAATTAAAATTTTATTTTCGGAATTATTAAGCATTATATTTCATGTTGAAAGCTTTTGCCTACGCAATGCATATCAAATCAGTACTATTCATAACGAGATTTTCCATTTCTAAAAGGGAAGTTTAATTTTTTATATAAGAAATAGCATTGCTGCTTACTACAATGATTAATTGATTCGATGAATCTTATCTTATTTCTTGGGGTTTTCTAATTAAGGGGCCTACGATGACGAAGAAGCAGCTGCACATGCATATGACTTGGCTGCATTGAAGTATTGGGGTCAAGACACCATACTTAATTTCCCTGTAATTAATCTTCCATCTTATGTTTTTCCAATTTATTAGCTCTAGTGCAAACTTTTGTTCTATCACTAATCCTAGCTCTTATACATTTTTATTGGTTGTTTATGAATGTAGGTTTCCACGTACGAAAAAGAGCTAATGGAAATGGAAGGTCAATCAAGAGAAGAATATATTGGTTCTTTGAGAAGGTACTGTCGACTTCCATAGAAACAAATTAAGCTTCCCCTTAATAGCTGTACTAATTTAATATAATTAAGTAATGAGTGTTTTATTTTGCAGAAAAAGCAGCGGATTTTCAAGAGGAGTCTCGAGATATAGAGGCGTAGCTAGGTAATTAATCATCATATTGAGAAATAATAAGAAAAATTTCTACCTTCATATATTTGTTGGCTTCAACATTTTTCTGACTAGAGATATTGATAATACAAGATCACTTTTTGTATGCCCTACTATTAAATTAGTATTATGAACCGTATCTAACCAATATTCGGCACTTTGGACTTGCTCGATCAAAAGTATTCGGTGATCTGAAAGTGCTGCACTTAATTAAAGCCATAGGTCCACCCACAAAAGAAAATGAAAGTGAAGTAAAGGAGATGTTTTGCATGCTTTTGCCAGCCACAAATGTTCTTCTTAATTTTATTTTGATAGTAGTGCAACTAGAATTTCTAACAAGAAATTTTAAAAACTGTAAGAATATTACAACTAGTATTCGAATCTGTGATATTAAGAACTATTTGGTCTAGCTTTGCCACTAAATAGGAGTTTTTCTTATGTCACGGTAATTTATGAATCTCTAAATATGTAACAAACTTTTTTCTTTACCCTTTTTTTTTTTGGGTTTAAGGGGTGATTATATTAGCAACTAAGATAAAATAGGTACATCATCATAAGCAGTGGCGGACCCAGGATTTTGTGCAAGCGGATTCAATCTTAGAAGTACATAACTTTAGTCGTAAAATAGTAGTTGTCAAGTGGGTTCAAATAAAATATTTATACAAAATTTACACAGCTTTAATCCTAATTTATACATATACACAATATTATTTTTTGATGAAGCGGGTTCAACTGAACCCGCTTGCCACCACGTTCGTCCGCCGCTGATCATAAGGGGTATATAGAATCCCCTAAGTTTTGTTTCATATGTTACTATTACATTCCAAAATGTTTCCTGGAAAAATAGTTCCTAGGATGTTTGTCCAAAAAGCTTCATTTGCAGACACCGGAGGAACTGTCGGCATAGTTGTTCTTTTTTTTGCTCCTTCATTCGCTGGTAGATCAACTACCCTGTTCTTCTCCTTGTAGCTATGTTTCACCATTGTTTCTCTCATCCTTTGGATTAGTGACCTGCATTCAGAGATAATAGAATCATAAACATAATTTCCCATTTTAAGCATTTTTATTACTCTATGGAGTCTGTGTTTATTTCCAGTGGTACTTTTTTCTTACCTTTTTTGCACTACATAATATTTCGACGAAAAAAATTCAATTGAACTTGTTTCAGGTGACCATATCACTCGGTCTAGGGGATATATGTAAAGATAAAATGAAGCTTGACACTAAGGGCGAAACTACATGTCTTAAATGGTGGTTAATTAATCATCATTCGTTCAAAAATTACACGATTTTGGAAATATAATATATATTGAACACCTTTTATCAGAGATTTTTTTTTCACTTCTTTCAAGTTTGAACATTTTTGGGGAAATTCCTAGCTTCTCCATTGCATGACGCTAAGCCTAATTTGTCATAAGTTGTACTAAGATGGATGCCCGTCATTGCAACTGGTATCACTATGAACTGATATGGGGTATAATCTCTTCCCATTCTTGTTCCATTTGATATGTCGTCCTGACCTTGACTTTAGAACTCCCTATACAATGCTTCACGCCTCTTTTGAACATGTGCTCACAATAATTAATTTCACCACATAAAGTAGTACACGAATAACATTAACGGTAAATTTTTTCTTTCTTTTATGTATTTGTAATTGATGTTTTATTACATCAATGCTTTATATCTAACTAATTTTTTTATTACTCATTTGTAGACACCACCATAATGGCCGATGGGAGGCTCGCATTGGCAGGGTATTTGGCAACAAGTATCTCTACCTTGGAACATATGGTACGCAAGAAACCTATACATATTCTACTTTTATTTTCCTGTTTATCTGGTGGAATTATCCCATTGTTACACTTACCAGTAGAAATTAAAGTAATAAGAATTAAAATTAAAGGAATAATATTAGTCCTCCCTTTACATCTTGATATTTTTGTTATAAATTCATTAGTTTAGGATACGATATGCAAGTGTAATATGTTAATGTGTGATTATTAAGTTTTCCAAGTTGGAGGATATGCTCTATATTAGCATTTTGGTCGCTTAACTGATAAACAACTTCAGAGATGTCCTTATCAAATACATTATGTGCTAAATCAGTACAAGTCTAATGATATTATTCATAAATGCAATTAGAAATTTATATAGAGTATCTTGATGGCCCCGTGTCTCTGCATGTGGTGGGGGGCTTATAGTTGTGTCTTAAATTGATATTGCCAAATGAAAACAGTTATGTCAGTTACCAATAAAGTGCCATTCAATGTTTGATTATTCCAAAAGAATCCAAACATATCAATTGAATTGGAGAAAGTAAGTCAATTAAGAGAAAAGAAAAACAGCCAAGAAGTTAGCTAGATTAAATATTACTAGTTGGTGGTTGGGTTTATAGATCGCCAACTTTCAACTGCTAGGTCTACAATTTAAGACTACCCATGAGACTATGAGCCATGACTTCAATTTCAACCTCCAGCTCAATTTTCATTGACCGTAATTATTTTGATGGGTTATTTCACACAAATTATGTACATAGACAAATACTATGTATAAGCATAGACAAATACTATGTAAAAGCCCAGAACAGAAAAATATGATCGTATGTACCTTTTGCACCGGATATATGCAGTAAATAAATTATTGATCAGGAAAAGAACTTTTTATAAACAAGTTAACACATTGAAATACACAGTATTTTATTTTACAAACTAGTAAAAGATTTGATGAATAATTAAGGTAGGTCTTGAGATTGGAAAATTATACAGTGTCGATATATTAGATTATTTGTATTATATATATATATATATATATATATATATATATATATATATATATGTTAAAGTTTTTTAATTTTTAGTGTACTTATTATTTTTTATTTCGATATCCCTTATTAAAAAATCTGACTTGGCCACTGTTTGGGACGCTAGTAGAAACTGAAAAGGAGATAATTCCACTGTAGCTGATTTGAAAAACAAACTTTTATTTATTCATTGTATCAGCCTATTTAAAATAAGAGTGAAAACTTTTGTCTTTTTTTTGAAATCTTTTCCTCCCCTCATTTCTTTTTCTTTTCAATTAATTGATCATAATAACATGCAGCTACTCAAGAGGAAGCAGCAATGGCATATGATATGGCAGCTATAGAGCATAGGGGACCTAACGCTGTTACAAACTTTGACCTTAGCCGTTACATCAAGTGCAACCCTCAACCAAAACCAAATCCTAATTCTACTGACCTAAATACCATTCCTAACACAAAGGAGGAAATAGATATTAGCTTCACCCACCAACAGCACGAACAGCAGCAGAGCTCAAATTCCGTCGGAACCAGCGCACCTCCGCCACATGCAGTGGGCGGTACAGCTGCTTCATCGGCTGTTGACTGTCCAGAGACACCGCCGGAGCCGGACAGGCCGCGGAGATGTTTTCCCGATGACATACAAACATACTTTGACTGCCAAGATTCGAGTATCTTTGTCGAAGAGCATGATATTATTTTTGGAGACTTGGATTCCTTTGTGTTGCCTATGTTTGAATATTAGCTTAATACCTAGCTAGCTAGCTTCACTTAGGTAACTTAATTAGGAGTTTGAAGGAATATTAGGGGATTCGAGATACATCATCAAGATTGCTTTAATTGTTAATTAGTATACTAAAAGGTTAAAGGCAGCTGGAAGAGTCGAGACCAAAACAAACAAACAAACAAAAAAAAAACAGAAATATTATATATTTCTCAGTTTTGTTTTTTTGAATATTTGATTATTTTGTTTTATTTTGTTTAAAGAGCTATCTAGGAGAGAGGGAGGGTCAAAGCGAGGGATTCTGTTTGTGTTTCTTTTACTTCTGTTTAATGACTTCTCTTTGTCAAATATTACATCTAATCTTTAGATAGCCTGTAGAGTAATGACTTAACGAATACCTGTCGCCACTCGTATTTAAAAACGTAGTAAGCTATTTGCTTTTGATCGTATATTAATTTGTATTTCTATTATCGTGTACTTTGATGAATGGCTGATGATGACTCTGTTAAGTGGTTAAAGTCAGTGTTAAAACCGTGTTATTTAGATTAGTTGTATTACTAATGAACATCAATTGGCTAGGTGTAAGTTGCTAGAAAATGCTTGTGACGTCAAGTCATCAATCAATCAATAGCACCTTGATTCTAAACTTGTTTTTTTGGATACTAATAACTTCATACATACGACATTATTAAGAAGAAAAGCGAGCCTATAGTTTTGCAAGATCAGTGCTTTCGTACTCGACAAAGATGATAATTGAATTGAAAATTTTCTGTTAAGAGCTACGGAGTATAAATTTTCTTTTAACTATTTCTTGTACATTTCATTGATTACTATTAAATAAATTGGTCTTAAAGTTAAATAGGAATTCCCTAAAACTAAAGGTATTCTAACTACAATATTACATAAAAATAATTTGTAATTACCTTTAAAATATTTTAATATATACAGTGAGGAATTAAATACTTGCTCTCTCCATTCTCCTTTACTAGTCTCTATTGACTAAGACATGTTCCTTAAAAAATTATTTATTTAGTTACCCTTGCTACTGGTAATTATTAAAATTGCCTGACCCAAAAGGAAAGGAGGGAGTACTATTTGACCCAAAAAATGAAAAATATTTAAAAATATCCATCTACTGTTGAATATTATTTAAAGTTATCCCATGTCATACTAATCAGTCAAAAATTACCCTATTGTTTTACTATTGAACAAATATATCCCAAGGTTAACATTTGAGCCGTGTGGCACCCATTTAGTCATTTGGTCAATTTAATATATTATTTTTGTACTGATTCGACCCAATACTCATTACCTGACCTAAAACAAATTTCGTAACATTTAAAGTCTAAACCCATTAATCACCATCAGTGGCAGCCTTATTGTCAATTGCTTGAGCTGCATGTCTTCTTGTTGTTATTTTTGTTGGAAGTGTTCTTCTGATTTGAGGTAGATGAATCGTGGTGGTCTTTTTGTTACGTCATAACAAAAATAGTGCTTTCAATGTTGCTCTATTGTAGATGCATCATAAACTAAAAGCTTAATTTAACATGTAATGCCCGCTTGGTGCAAACTTTTAATTCGCTATCGTAATGATAAAGTATCATTCGTGCTCCACAATTCTAGACTATCAAGATTTAAGCGTGGTTCCTATTAGAAGATAAATAGTAAAACTTTTCTGTATTTCTATGTTCACCCAAGAAGTGAATATGACATTAGCATACTTTCAAAACATAGATACCGCGTATACTTGCAAAAGATCGGCTGGTGTTGGCTGACATGGTTAACTGTCTCAACTTAATGACCTAGCAATTGAAAGATAAAATAATATTTGAGTAAATTTCAAGGGTGGTCAATCAACTTTGTATTCATTACGTAAAAGTCATTTTTCTTCTTTTTGTTACATAAAAATTATTCAGCTTTGTGTTCATTACTCAAAAGTCATTTTTTTTTGTTACACAAAAATCATTTTACTTTGCTCTATTTATCACAAAAGTCACATTGGCCAGATTTTATAATACTTTTACTTAAAAATGGAATGACGCCAAATTTTGCGTGCAAGTCAAAAATCACAATACGAACCTATTCCAAGGCTCAGAACTTCGAACGGACATCGATAACACAAAAATTTATTTCAAATCAAACTTAAGGATTTCTTAAACTTTTAAAATACCAACCTTCCATAATAGGCGTTGAAATACTCCCGGACCATCCGATACTTAACTCGAACATACGCCTAAGTTCAAAATTATCATACAAACCTATCGAGGCCTCCAAATCCCTATTCCGAGGTATGTTTCCCAAAAGTCAAACCTTAGTCAATTCTTTCAACTTAAAGCTTCCGAAATTAGAATTTTCCATCTGAATCAACTCTAACTTCCCGAAATTCAATTTCGACCACACGTAGAAGTCATAAAGCATGAAGTAAGATACCCAAGGCCTTAAACTGCTGAACAACATGCTAGAGCTCAAAATGGCCGATCGGATCGTTACATTCTCCCCCACTTAAATATATGTTCATCCTCGAACGTGCTAAGGACTGCTCCGGAGTTGTCCAAAATCACTGTTTAGCACCCCGTGCACCTACCTGTTCCACCACAATCCAGTTGAACATATTAGCTCGAGCCAGACTGAAGATCCCTCTTTTATTTAGTTAAAAAGCCTTAGAACCAAATTCCAACCTCCGAATCTCTACAAGACCTGCTTCTAACATTCGAACACCATATCAGTTACCGCATACTATACCAAAACATGATCATGCACCCATGCTGAAATCACACCATGCACCACATAAGTCAGTTGCCCATAATAACATCCTCCGACCATAATAGCTGAAATTTCACGAATCCGATTCCCGCAATACACCTCATGACACATATAAGTTTCGTTCCAACTCTCGAAATACTGCCACGATGGAAGAGATGTGTAGAAACTAATAACCACCTGCCGAATCAACAAATCATGGGGTCTTTCCCCCTGACAAGAACCATTACCTCATTCTAAACTGAATAATGATATTTGCTCATTAATATACTTTACACAAATCCGATCACACCGATTTTAGGTACCAATAACCTCGTCTCACCTAGCACAAGCTACCCAGGCAATGAGCCACCTCAAACACTACCCGAGATTTCATATGATGCCATCAATGCACCAACAAGCTACAACTCGAATATGATACATAAGGAAAAATGAACTCTGGAAAAGGACCACCCAGCTCGCGTAACGAATAAAACGGCCGAAAAGATGCTATGAACCTACCTCATGGATTAAAAAAACAAGGAACGCAAAATAAGTGTAAGGAACTATGCTCAACATCTCGTTATTGCGGCTTGCAACCCGATCCAATATGACAATGTTGCGGCGTGCAACCCGATCCACATAACATGCCCGTAGTGGCATGCCACCTTATCCAAACAATATAACCGTGGCGGTGTGCCACCCGATCCGCACATAACAATCAAGAATAAAACACACATCAAGTCGTAACGCTTATACATACGAAATGCCCGAATATTGACCACAAGCACGCCAAGTGCATAATACAAATCCTGGGGAGATGGATAGCTTCATACGCTATGAAACCCAAGCACAACTAAGGTGCAATAAATGACCTGCATCTTGAGAGCCATCCTGCTCATATAACACCACAAGCTACATTGGAACTCAACAAGTGTGCAAATAATCAAGCCGTCTCACAACCCACATGTCACAATAGAGATTTACATGGACTAGCTGACGACGAGAATAAAATCCAATGCCCGATGACTCCTCCGCAAGTAATGCTATGACGAATGAACACATTCGACCTGTCACGACCCAAAATCCCACCACAGGCGTTGTGATGGCACTTAGTCTCTAAGACTATGTAAGCCGATTACAATTACCTTTCGAGCCTTTTTTTAAACATATAATCTAATACAAGTGTCAAAATCAAAAGCGGAAACAAATATAACAACCTCCCAAGATTGGTAATATTGAGTCACGAATTCAAACTGACATGAACTACTCTCAAGGATCGACTATACAATACTGTCTGAATAAGAAGTGACAGTACAATAAAATAGAAAGACTCCAAAGGGACTGCGACGACCGAGCAACTCTACCTGGAATCCTTGCGATCAACCCACTAACTCTGCCTGAGTCCGATATCTCCAATACCTAGCTCTGCACAAAAATGTACAGAAGTGTAGTATGAGTACACCACAGTCGGTACCCAGTAAGTATCAAGACTAATCTCGGTGGAGTAGTGATGAGGTACAGTCAAGACACTCACTAGACAAATAACTTGTGCAACATAGCTTTCAAAAATAATAGAAAATAGAGAGCAGTGATAGCAATAATAATCAATTAGTGATGTAACCAACAAAACAACAAGAACACTATAAATGTCGTTCACACAAATAATAAAGACAAGTACCGCCAATTAAGCAAGCCCTTCAAAATATACATCTCATCTATAAGTTTTTCAAATAAAAATCTTTAGAATGTAATTATTTCCAATTAAATATATCCCGAATATACTTCCTCCAAATAAATACCTTAGGAGTACGAATCTTTCAAATAAGTATCTCCCAATATAATCCTTTCAAATAAATATTTTCAAATATAATTCTTTTAAATAAAACCCTTAGAATATAATTCTTTTAAATGAAAATCTTTCGAATGTAATTCCTTTAAATAAAAACCTTTCGAATGTGATTCTCTTAAATAAAACCTTTCGAATATAATTCTTTCCTATAAAACCTTTCGAATATAATTCTTTTAAATAAAAACCTTTCGAATGTTATTCTTTTAAATAAAACCTTTCGAATATAATTCTTTCCAATAAAAATCTTTCGAATATAATTCTTTCCAATAAAAATCTTTCGAATATAATTCTTTCAAATAAAAGCCCTTCAGATATAATTTCTTTCAAGTAAAATCACCGGTTGACACCTCACCGCATAATCCTAAAAATCTCGGGTCTCAGTCTACCTTCATATCTCACGGCACCTCGTGCCTATATTTCTATCACAACCGTACAGTCAACTCACAAGGCAGAAGACATAATAATTTAATGAAATGACAGAGAAGTGAATGGCGAGAATTTACAGATAAGTAACAGCACAGCTAATAGGGATAAACAACAGGGGCGCTCCCGAAGTATCGCCTCGTAAACCCAAATGTAAATGCTCAACAGGGGAAAGTCCCAAGGTACCGCCTCGTAGTCACAAAATAAATATGCAAGACAGGGGGATCTCTCGAGGTACCGCCTCGTAGTCCCAAAGTAAATATGCAAGACAGGGGGATCTCTAGAGATACCGCCTCATAATCCCAA